AGTTCGCGATTACGGCTGCTCGAGAGTACTGTTTCTCACTGAACGTGGCTTGGGCGCATTATTCGAATACGATACTGATTAATTACAGCCCCACTTATGTCTCTGAATACTCTAGGACAATAACAGTTATATCAAAAACTTTTTACTGTACCCGAAATCTCGAAGATTTACAATTTACATGATAAAACGCTGTTGGTCTCTAAAATGATTCGGACAAATTAATTGAAAGAATTCATCAATCTCGAATTGTTATTTCGAATAAAATGTGGCCAAGCCTGCTCTCGCGATTCTCACACGCTTTTATTGCAGCACTTGCAATCGATTCGCATATAGATAAAGAAATGCGTCTCTTTAGCTAGAGTATATTCTCTCTCTTCTCTTTCTCTCTCTGTTTAGACCTCGGTGGTGTATCAGCTACAACGCCGCGTGAGAACACTTAGGGAACAATTGCAACGCAGGGATCTTCACTTGGACCTGCTTCGTAGGAAATTGTCGCTTCAAGAGGACAGCGTTAAGATGAAATCGCTTTTGCAAAGTGAAAGGGACGAGGCGAATCTTCGGTATGCATTTGCGCCGCTCATTTGGCAAATCGATTAACTCCACAAAGCAAAAGAGCAGAGAAATCGGTGAAAATACATGTGCATCGATTTCAGAAAGTTTCCCGCACACAGCATGAAAAATCATCGCGGACATTTTGAACTTTCATCAACTCGTGTAATAAAATTTTAAAATCTTCAAATTTTCAAAGGGGAGACTTCAATTTTTCAAGAGTGTGGTGAATTTAATTTATTTCTTTACGAAAGAAATCTTTCTAGTGTTCACAAAGACGTTTCAGTTTGCAAAATTTCTGAGAGAAAAGCTATCTTTGTCAAAAAAAAATTTTTTTTTGGAAGAAATGAATACAGTATTGTGAAAGTAGAAGCTTCACGATTTACAATGAATATAAGGTTAATAGGTCTACGATTTTTTTATTAAGAAGTTATAACAGTTTAAAGTGTTGACGGGAAAATTAACATGAGAATGAAAATTTTCAGAGAAAACACGCATAAATACGTTATAATATATGAATAATATAATAATGTATATAATAATAATATACATTATTAATAATATGATATACAATAATACATGTACATATAATAGCATATATAATATACAAATAATATGTTGAAGATATCACTTCTTAAAAGAAATCACACAGAGATTTGATGAACCTATATAATTATTTATACGGTTGTCAAAACTCAAACATCGATCAAGTGCTTTGCTGTTGCAATAAAAAAAAACAAATTCAGAGAGTGGAGTTAATTATCGTACTTTGGCCTGTGAAAGCCGGCTTATCTGTTGGATTTATCATCGATAAATAAATTGATAAATTTGTTCTACTTCGACTCTGACGAGTCATCTTTGTTTCAAGAGCGAAGAAACTGTCGAAACAAATCGATCGCCTGCAAGCTCAACTTTTGGAGGAGAGATCAAGGAACCGCGAGTTAAGCGCGCAATTGACGGAAGCCGCGGATTACAAAGTAAGCACGAGATCATGACGCATTTTTTTTTTTTTTTTTTCACTTGTTTCTGCATTGGATTTATACTGTCGATTGATAGCGTTTCATTATCGCCATAACGAATATTGAAAGAAATCGAGATGAAATTCAACATGTCGAGATATTTTTCAACGGGAGATTTAGCTGTGATTTAGCCATTGCATTAGGGGAAAAATGTTATGCAAAAAGAGAATGAAGCGTCTACAAATGTTCAGGTCGCGGTACAAAATTTTTTGTTTAATTCTCACTTTCACAATAGTATGAACGTCGGGCGAGAATTGTTTGAAAATCAAGCACGAGGTTGGCGCAAGCCTGGCCGGTGAAATGAATCTTTTCAAACGATGGTGTAATCTAATCGAGTGCATTTGCTCATTGGTCTCATACATGTACAATGGATAATTAGAAATGATGATCAATACGTGCTTCGGCTCGTGCATGGTTCGTCGATAGCATAAATAATAGACCTTTAAACTTACACGCACGGACACAAAGTGGTGAGAGTTGCTCTTTTAAATCAGATAGCTGCTTTGGAACGCAGTCGGAAGATAGAAGAAGTTCAGAAACGATTGGTGGAGAGCGAGATGCTGAGGACTCGATGCAACCGAAAGTTAACTCTGTTGAAGGAGCAAATCAGAAGTACGACTGAGACTGCTGAACAAGAGAGATCTATCAGTGATCACTCGCTGCAATTGCTTAGGGACGAGCTGGCACAGGTCAAGCAGAATCTTTCCGAGCTGACGAAAAGAGAGTCGCAAGTAAGTATTTGCAGTGAAAAGTGGAATAATTGGAACAGTAAAACTAACAGTCTTCAAACTGTTAGAACTTTGTAAATAGAAGATTTTTGTATAATCCTCGTTTCATCCATTGTGGATGAAATTTCATACATCTTTCTTAAAAGAAATTATATTATTAATAAATAGGTATATTTATCTGAGACATTATATTTTATATTATATATAATTAATGTTATTAATTTAAAAAGAAATGAGCAAAGAGTCGCTAATAACTTATATGAATGATTGACATGACTTTAAATAACCAATTCAAGAAAAAAAGAAATTCAATTCTGAACAAGTGTCACAATGCAATATTGTAATTAAAATATCTTTAGAACTGATTTCTCGATATGAATGATTCAATATTTTTTTTATAAAGAACGACAAACTGAATCGAGCTGAAAAATATACGATTTCGCTTAAAGAAACAAACTTGATCTTTAATAATTATATTAGTGTCCCTCATTCAACATTTGTCTAAAACTTTTTTTGATATAATCAAAATCGTTTCGAGAATAATTCAGTTTCTAGTCTTGTGTGACTCATCCTATATATATCTATTATATATGCTACATATAATGGAGTTTCTTTGGGCCCATGTTTATTAAGATTTGTTTGAAGCCTGCACCAAAGTTTTTTTCAAACACTCTAAAACTTTTTTTTTTTTTTTTTT